AATGATCAGTTGAGTTCTAATATCATCTAAACTTCATTGAATTTTAAAACATTTGAATTTTGACAAAAGATATCAAAGATTTTAGAATTGATCAATCTTAAGTTGAGTTCTAATATTATCTAAACCTGTTTGAATTTCAAAACATTTGAATTTTGTCAAAAGATATCAAAGATTTTAGAATTGATCAATGATGAGTTGAGTTCTAATATTATCTAAACCTGATTGAATTTCAAAACATTTGAATTTTCACAAAACATATCAAAGATTTTAGAATTGATCAATGATCAGTTGAGTTCTAATATTATCTAAACCTGATTGAATTTCAAAACATTTGAATTTTGACAAAAGATATCAAAGATTTTAGAATTGATCAATGGTGAGTTGAGTTCTAATATTATCTAAACCTGTTTGAATTTCAAAACATTTGAATTTTCACAAAACATATCAAAGATTTTAGAATTGATCAATTATAAGCTGAGTTCTTATATTATCTAAACCTGATTGAATTTCAAAACATTTGAATTTTGACAAAAGATATCAAAGATTTTAGAATTGATCAATTATAAGCTGAGTTCTAATATTATCTAAATCTGATTGAATTTCAAAACATTTGAATTTTGACAAAAGATGTCAAAGATTTTAGAATTGATCAATGATGAGTTGAGTTCTAATATTATCTAAACCTGTTTGAATTTCAAAACATTTGAATTTTGACAAAAGATAGGAAAGATTTTAGAATTGGTCAATCTTAAGTTGAGTTCTCATATTATCTAAACCTGATTGAATTTCAAAACATTTGAATTTTCACAAAACATATCAAAGATTTTAGAATTGATCAATTATAAGCTGAGTTCTAATATTATCTAAACCTGATTGAATTTCAAAACATTTGATTTTGACAAAAGATATGAAAGATTTTAGAATTGATCAATGCTAAGTTGAGTTCTCATATTATCTAAACCTGATTGAATTTCAAAACATTTGAATTTTGACAAAAGATATCAAAGATTTTAGAATTGATCAATTATAAGCTGAGTTCTCATATTATCTAAAACTGATTGAATTTCAAAACATTTGAATTTTGACAAAAGATGTCAAAGATTTTAGAATTGATCAATGGTGAGTTGAGTTCTAATATGATCGAACGGTGATTCAGTATTAAACGCTATATATTTGGAAAGAAAAGATGAAATGTTTTAGAATTTTGGGGTTATTGATGTGGTTCAAATATTTTTGTGCTGATAGTGTTGAGTGAATGTTCGGGGAAGCGGGAAGTAGTGTAACATTGAGGAATATACGTATGATGGGGAGTGTTCGGGGCGCATGTGTGGAGCTGGTGATATAGTTGCTTTTATATGTGGGAGTTTCGCTTCAGTGTTTTGTGAAAGAAAGTATCGCGGATTTGTTTGACTGTGTTGTGTGCGCATTCTGGGGTATTTGTGGGATTGGTAGGCGATTTTGTTGACACGTAAAGTAACCAGATTGTTAATGTGATTATCCCTATATGTTGCGAGGAGAAAAGAATAGGAAGCTCGAAATAGTATTGGGTGTTGAGATGATGATAAATGAATTATATTTTGGCAATGATAGTTCATCAATGAGGTGATATGCTGAATGCTAAGCGGATTCAAGGTAGGATAGGAGTAAATTTTATTTGTAAACGGCAGTGAACGTGTAGGTGGATTCAGTTTCTATGAATACAAATTTGTTTTCTACGGACGGTAGTTTAGCTGAAACTTTATTGTATTTGAACTTTAATTGAAGGAAGAGTGATCAAGACTGGAAAATTTTAAGAAATTTAAGGAAAAAGGAAAAGTTCTTTTGTGTCGCGGGGTTGTAGACATATCATAATGTTTTTTTGATTTTATATTCATGTTTAAATAGATTTCACGTTGGAGTACGGAACGTTGCGGTCTCTCTGAGGGTATTGAAAGTATTGCGGATCTTTAATTAATTTTTGATTTATGTGCAGTGTTGAAATTAAGTATTTGTAAAAGTGGGAATGGAAGTGTTTAGTAGAAAGAAAAAGTCTAAGTTGAGCATTATCTATCGTGATAGTTGTATGCTGATATGAACTCTATGATAAGTGAGTAACTGATGAGCTACTTCATTGATGAGAATATTAGTGAGCATTTTGATTGAGACCATTTTCCTACATATGGGCGAATTGTAATGATTGTGAAGTTGAAAGAGCTTTAATGGATTTGTATCATTGAAATCTTTTCTTTTATAGTAAAATCTATCGTGTATTAGAACAATTTTAATCAAAATGATTCTATGTAGGGATGCACTGGTTTCGGTTCTAAAATCGGAGCCTAAACCGAAACCCTTTGGAACTGATCGGAATCGAAACCGAAACCGACTGGAACTGAGATCGGAATCAGCCAGAACCGATCATCATTAGATTTTTCACTGCCCAGGTCGAGAAGTACGGGCCAGTTCGTGCAGGAAAACACCGGAAATGCTAAGAACTTGGAAGCAGGAATCTGGTGACTGAGTTTATCTAGTTCCATCCAGAACTGCCTAGAACTTGGTAAAATCGGCAGTCGTATATGATCACCGGTTTCTGCGTCGATTTGCTGGCATTTTCAGACAGGTTTTGGCGGGAAACGGTGCCTTTCCTGCGGATTTGCATCGGAAATTCATGAAATGCTGCTTCAAGAATCGTCGATCTGGGTTTTCCGATTTCTCTATGCATGGTGTCGACCGATTTTGGGTTATTTGGAACCGATCAAAACCGGAACGAGTGCATCCGTAATTATTGTATCCATCTTTAGAACGGATTATCGAGTATATGTTAGTATGATAAGATCTCCGTCACTTCCGTTATATGGGCATTTCCAAGCTATTTAGGTGACGTAATGTCAATCGGTTTTGGCTTGATAATGATTGTCTTTTCTATACCTTTTTTTGTTGCTTCATTGTCTGCCTTTCATTAGAAAGGAAGTGTATGAATTGAGCTGTTGAAGTATATGATGGCTGTGTGTTATCATTTTTGTATTGCCTGAATTGTTCATTCTGAAATACAGGATGAGACATGTTTTCAAGACTTGTCCTGTTCAAAAGAGGATGTGAGTGCGTGTGTGGGCGTGGGCGTGGTTGGGGTGTGAGTGTGGGTGTCTATGACTGTTGCCAAGGAGAAGCTATTCATCCACACTCACATCCACGCCCCACACCCACATATACCCCCGCCCTCGCCTCACACCCATATCCTTCGACGAAAGACTTTTCTCTTCAGAAATCATTATACACTAACAATGGAAAATATTCAGCATAAAAGTTTAAAAATAAATTATCTTACGTAAGTTAAGTTAGCACCAGATTCGAGTATTTCTTGTCCCGATTCGCTTTCTTACCTGTGTTAGCTCTCTAAGTGGTTGTGTTAGGTGCAAAATTTAATGCCCTATCGAATGTTAATAATTTCGGTAGAGTCATTGGGTAAAAAAATTGTCTTGAGTGTACTCCTAGGTGTGGGTGTCATTATGGATGTAAATGTTGGTGAGCCAATCAGTCGAACGTGGAAAACTAACGCATCGTTTGTGAGCTACTCTGCAGTTTACTGACACCTATTTGCTTCATGCAGTATCGCTCGAGCTCGTCATGGAAACTCACCTACATTGAAACTCACACCCGGAAGCACACGTAAGACAATTTTTTTACCCAATGACTCCCATCGAAATTAGTACTATTCGATAGAGAATTAAATTGTGCAGCTAATACAGTCCTTTAAAGATCCAACGTAGATGACTAGACGAATGGAAACAAGGATTACTGGCTAGATTGGGTCAAAGAACGAATACGTAGGATCACATCGCCGTGTTTTGTATGATAATTTCCATTGAAAAAAGCATCATTCGTTCGAGAATGCAATTCTGCATCTCACACAACCTTTTGAAAACGCAACACAGGTCAGGAAACGAATCCGGGCAGAAAATATTCTATTCGTATTATCAGTACATAGGAAAATACTGAGTATCTCTTGAGTAAACTCCATTTTTTGCGCGATGATGCCACTTGAAAATGGCACCGTTGGATAGAAAATCAAATTCTGCATGCAACACACTCGATTAGAAAGTTAACACAAGTCGTAGAGCGAATCCGGACTAGAAATACAGGATTTTTATTATCAATACGCAGGAGAAAATTGTGCTTTTTGCTCAATGACCGCCTTTGCAACTACTACCATTCGATAGAACATTAAATTCTGCATCTAACACAACCACTTAAAGAGCTAATACAGGTAAGAAAGCGAATCAGAACGAGAAATACTCGAATCTGGTGCAAACTTTACTTACGTTATGTCATATGTATTGATTTGTTCAATGTGTTATCATGATAAAACAATGTGATACCAACGATGATAAGAGATTTTTGTCGTTTCTCTTTAGATTGATTATAATATAGATTATTTTTGAAATCTGCTAGATGGATAGCCACTGAAACTAGTGTCAATCAACTGTACACAATCAATTATCTATTCCATATTATTCTTTGATCTAATCAATAGAAAAACAAATGAATTACTACTATGATTTGTCTATATTGAATAATTTCTCTCATAATATTCATTATAATCTCTTATTAATATAAGTTCATATTTTCTTTTTTTTCTTTTTCATCATTATTCTTGAGAACAAGTAAGAAAGTATTTCGAAAAATATTTTATTCTATATGAATCGCTTGTAAATGAAGAGAATACTACTTTTATTAAAAAAAAATATTGTGACTTTAACAACATTTTACTTCTATTAAAAAACGTTCAGCAGCCACCACTCTACTGACAAATAATATGGAAAAAAAACGATTAAAAATTGAATGAATGAATGAATGTTCATATAGAGAGCAAAATGTCAGAGATTAAAAAAAAGTTGCTTGATTATATATAGAAAATCTTTCAATTTCTTAATTTCACCTGCTCGATGAAACATACGTGTATAGAGTTTTAGTTTATATTTCATATGTTCTCTTATCATTGGCCATTGATATCGGCAAGTCCAATTTTATCGACTATCACTACCTGCATCTGATGCTAAAATAGAAAATAAAGAATTCATAACTATTAAATATATTATTTTCAAAGTCAAATTTCAAACACATAGAATCTACCCATTATACAGATATTATTCAATGATAATTTTCGTTTTTAATCTAACGGGATTGATTTGACTCTTATAAGATTAGAAACCAAGAAAAAAAATAGAAGAAGAACGATTCACGTCGATAAGGAAAAGAAAATTCTACTAGTTTCTATTTTGAATTACTTACATAATGATGGATCATTCATTCTTCCTGTATCATCTAAACCGAGTAAATCTTGCAATTGAATAATAGCAATATTAGCTACTGATGACATAACCATTTTTATACAATACTAATCAATATGCCAATTCAAATTATATATCATACCATTATCTCTATCATCTTCATTACAATATTCGTCAAGCTGTTCTACTAATCTAACATTATTTACAAATGTTTTCTTTTCATAATCTTCTGCATGTTTTGTCCACAAACCAATTGCTGTTGGATTATAATGTGTAGCCGTATATGCAACACAATTTTGTATAAAATT